ATTTTTTACTTATATACGGCCAACACCACCTTGTTAAATACGCCTTGTATAACGTGTTGTCTCTTATAGATTTACGTTCTTTGGTATCAATAATTTCTTTTGAGCGAAAAAATGAAACTGTAATTACACTGGTTTACAGAAATAATATTTTATTGATGCAAGCTTCATTTAACTGGTGTGGGGTCCCCTGATATATGTATGTATTGGAAATAGTACCCAAAAAGGAGTAAAAATAATCCTAATCTTATCCTTCTTTTTCTACTACATTGGCATGCAGAAAAAGTGAGGTTATGTAAGTGACATCACCTTATATTTATTTCACCATGGTCGTGACTTATATTTTAACTTTTTTTTTTATAAATTTATGTGGGGAGTTGTAATTCGATGAAATCCATCATATAAATAAAAAAGTGAATTTTGAATTTTTTATTAGATATGACTTTTTTCATTTCAACAATGATGTTTGTTACGTCTTTTTGCATTTCAGGTGACGATATGCAACATTTGCTAAATTTTAGGGTTTTTCTGATATTTTTTGAGATATTTATTAAAAAAAAAAAAATACGTAGTTGTATTTATTTTTGGTTGTGAATCTAGGAAGAGCGATATGGATAGTTAATCACATTAATATAAATTCAACTGAATCTCTTTTTCGATTTGAGTTATCATTCTTACAACCAAACTTTTAAATTTTTAGTAAAAAAAAATTATTTGAAAATTCGAATAAATTCAAATTAAATCGAATTTGCACCACCAAATTTCGAACCGAATAATCGAATGGTTGGGCAATGTTCGAAATTCGGAAAAAATCGAATGGCTAGTGATCCCTAGTTCATGCCACAGCACGTACCAGGGAAGCCAACTCGTGGGGAGTTCCGCGATTTGCGGGAATTTCAGTTTGCGTGTGGAATCGGGGAAAGGGCCGTTTTTTTGTGGGCAATTTCAGTTTAAAAATTGCATGAGGAATGCACATCATTGTGGAAGAATACAAGTGAGATATCTTAGGGTTGACAGATAGTTGACAGCGTTTTCAATATGGCGATGACAGTGTGAACAATATGGCATACAACAACGAATGGCCCGAAGTTGTAAAACTACGACCCGAATGAATCGCTTCATGAAAATCCAGGGTTGCGAAGTGGTATTTTGTTGGAAAATATAAAAGCCAGGATTTTGTGCAGCGCCGAATTTTAAAAAAAGAGGGTTTTGTGTGATCAAGATGAACAGAAAAGGGTTGCTGTGCTGTTTCGTTTTAAGCTTATTTTAATCTTAACGTATCTAATTAAATATTAAAAGGAGACAAAAATTAAAGCAAAAATTTAAAATATATATACATATCTGAAAATTTTAAATAAAATATATATTTTCACGAGAGACAAAGTAAATAAAATGGGTTAACTTAAGGGGAAATATACTTATCAGATTGGGTCAGATAGCGCTTTTACGTTATAAGTAAAAATAATTCCTACTTAAATTTTATATAGTTTTGGTGACGTATTTCTAGGCTGACCTTGAGATCTGTGAAATAATACATATTTATGTGCATATATTGTGTTGATTATGCTCCAAATCGCTAAATAATTCTTGCAGCAATCAGCACCATTGGAAATTTTCGGAAAGTAGAAATAAACTAAATTTAATTTATTCAATTATGAATAAAAGAAATTGGAGACAAACGTACAATTGGGACGATGTTTTTCGCATCCGCAAACGAATGTTTGTTTAATGAATTAGGTTATTGGCCTGGCATCTAATGAAGCATTATCGTCATGATTATTATCGTCAGATTACCGTCTGGATGCCATGCCGGCTGTCGTCCCATACCTCTTCCCGGGTGAACGTTCGCACACATTCGCCTGAAGATGTATCGCAAATTCTTAACTTGTCGCCGCACGATGCAATTAACTGGCCATTAGGTCTGAATTTTGCTTCGCACACCCAATTTGTGTGTCCAGTGAAAGATGTATATTTTGAATCAGTATTTTGATTGCCGTTCGCAATTTTTCCAGCAAACGAATAAGCTGACGAAGATGCAAACAAATTCAAGCACATTGTTGCATTCTACCGTACTTTCTAAAAACTTTAAAATCTTATAACATATGTAAAAAACTTTTATAATATGAATATTTCTAAAGTCGAAATCAAAAGGAAATTTTACAAATAGCATTTTTAAAAAACAATCATCTAATATTTTCCAAGTTTTTGGGCATATATGTTACCATTTGAACAACAAATAGTACAAAGTTTTATAAAACTATTTAATGCAACTCAGGACAAAAAGGCACAGTTTTGACCAAAATAAGCAACTCTAAAAAACAGATGATCGCAGCTGTGGCCCAGGATGACGTCTATTGCTAAGATATCTCACTTGTATTTATACAAAATGATGCACATGCAACTAAAAGTACATTTGCTTTCATATAACGAATAAACAATTTATTTTCATATGGAAGAAAACCGCCAAACCCTCGGCAAAAAAATTCTAAAACGAAAATTTTTAGCCACTTGAAACTTGCTTTTTATCCTACCATTATTATACTAGATTTGAGAAAATCTATTTAAGCTCGACATTTTAACGAAGGTTTGTTAATTTTTTTTTAATATCACTTAAAGTTTCGAACATAGATTAATATGGGTTTTGTTAAATAATGAACCATATTAAAAAAAAATCCTCAAATTAAATAACAAAAAAACAATAATTGTGAAAACTGGTCAAAATTTGGGTCGACAAAAGTTTTTTACACCACTGTATGTATGTAAATATTATATGAAAATTTTTTATTCCTTATTTGTTAATTAACTTTACATTTACATTTAAAAATAAAATAAACTGAAAGACCAACAATAAATAAAATAAGGAGATATCTATAGGCGGTGAATTTTACGAAATTTCGCTACAACAACAACGAAATTTCGGACAACATTTATTGTCGAAATCGGGGAATTATCAAAAGGAGATGGCTACCCTGGCACGTACATTGGTTCGTCCCAAGGCACATAAATACAGGTAGAAGCCAAAATGACGTTGCTCTCATGAGAACCAAACCTTTAAACTTCAACTTGATTTTATTTTATTTCCTATATTTCGTTACGCTTTGAATGTCATATCGTTGTTTTTTTTTTGAATGTTCGTTAATAACAAATTTTAATTTGCATTTGAATTTTTGTAGTGTTGTGCGGTTTATACTTAGTGTATGTGTTAAAAATGCAACACCTGAAGCGTTGTGTTTTATGTGGTGTTAAATATAAGGCAGATACCACTAATTTTTTAACGTGCCTCAATGTCCTTCGCGTAAGGAACGTTGCGAAAGCAGCTGTGGGCAGAGCTGCAGTGAAATGCCTTGCTGTGCGTTAAACATTTTAAAGAAGTAGATTCCACAAATACACCGGGAGGTACAGGAAAGGCACGTTTGAAGCCAAGTGCTGTTCCTATGACCCTTATGCCGAAAAGTCCCTCCAACAACACTGCAACTCATAAAACAAAAACAGAAAACAACATACACGTTTTTTCAAATTTTAACTAAAGAAAATAAATAAATAAGAATAAACTTCAAATATACTTAAAAACGTCAACCAGTGAAATGTATTTTTTTATTTTTCCTTACACACGCTCATTTTTATTTTTACTCTCCCGAAAACTTTGACTTTTGTAGGTTCGATGTCAATTTGGCTTCTACCTGTTTTTATTGTACCATGGGTTCGTCCTATTTTTATTGCCTCCACCTATTGTGAACGAGCATTTTCGCTTTCATGATGGCCGCACAATAACAAATCAGCTGCGGTAGTAAACAAAGTGTAGAGAAATATTTGCAAAATGTTGACTTCTATGGTAAAAGAATACCAAGTAAAACAGGCCAAACGAAAACAGGAGCAAGGTAAATAAATAGGGGTCATTTTGTAAAAGTACATACATATTTTTATTTTCCGATTAATCCTCCAGAATTACGGCGCAAAGATGTTATAGAATCATCAAATGAGCTCACACAGGCTATAGTGGACCACTTGAATGTTGGGTATGTGTTGAATTTAAAAAATTTTATATTTTTAATATTTTCCATACGATTTTCCTAGTGTGGCACAAGCATATTTGAATCAGAAGCGCTTGGATGCCGAAGCGAAGCAGCTGCATGTGGGCGCCACCAATTTTGCCAAACAGACGCAGCAATGGTTGCAACTTATCGATAATTTTAGCAGCGCGTTAAAGGTACGTATTCTGTTGCCAATTGAATAATGGTATTTAAACTTTAACAACCCCTTTTATATTTTGGCCGATGAAATAGGAGCTAGGCGACGTAGAGAATTGGGCGCGCAGCATAGAAAGCGATATGCAAGTTATACAAAGTACTTTGGAAATAGCGTACAAGACGTCACGACAAACACAACACAATAGCACTAATTAAAAGTTGGTAAAGGGTTTTTACAAATGCATTTAAATATAACCAATTGTTGCTGAAATTTTACAAGCAGTATGATTTTTCTTTGAGGAAATTGAAAGCCTGTAACTTTTACCCGGGGAAATACACACCTTTCACTGTTGGCAAAATTATTCCAACTTACCCAATCATTGATCTACTGCAATTACTATGCTTTTAGTTGTAACATACATTTAAATACGTATCGCTAGTTTAGAGTGAAAAGTTTCTTAGTCGACGCCTTATGAAAACTCATATTTTGATATAGAAAACAAAATAAACTAAAAATGCATCGGTTCGAAATGGATTAAGGTACTTGTTTTATTTTTTTGCTTATTGTCAATTCATATATGAAGTCCAAAAAAGGCACCGAAAATCCGACAAGAAATCCGACAACGCCAATTTAAGACTGAAATATTTGAATAAAGATCGAATACTTCAGATTTTGTTTTACCCGCAAAATGTTGATTACAACATACTTGGAAAAAATGGATGCGAATAGTTGTTTTCCTCTCCTGTAAAGTTTGTAAAAATGTAGATAGTATATTTTCACTCTAAGCTAGCGATATACATATATACAAAAAATTGTACCCGTTTGTGTCTTCTTTTATTCAAAACGTATTAGTAAACATTAAAACTAATTAAAGTACAAATAAACAAAAGTTGCAAGTCTCGCAATTTTTATATAATACATATATAAAAATAGGCGCGAAACGTCTCCCCCACAATTATATATTTTATATTATGTCTAGTGAGCATACATACATACATTTAAGAATAGTAATATGAATTAGGCAATGCAAGTGTGATTACATCAAAACATTTAGCTGGCTTGCGGTTTCCAGTTGTTGAATTAGAAAACTGCAATGCTACTACTCTATATACTACTAAACATAAAGTGAGAGACGGTAGTGCTTGTAAATCATCAAATGAAATATGTTAATTGTTAAAAACTATGATAATCAAAAGATAATAGAACGATGTAAATAAGCCGTAATAGTAAAGAAATTAAACTGAAGCCAAAATTTAGGCGATATAATTCATTCGTGTTGTTGAACACTTTTTGAATGCGACAATTTTAAACGTACATTTTATTTCATGTACATACATAGCATTTGACGGGTAAGACGCATACGGTATGTTTTGTAATGCGTCTTGAGAGAAAATGTTGAATGAAAAATTAACGATGCGGAGTTATGGAAATATTCGATGCCAGTTCGCCCGCAATTCTAATATAATTTAATCGTAAGCTGATTATGCGTTTTGTGTAGCTTTGCTTTTGTTGTATTATGCAGTATAGTGAAAACTTGTGATTTTTTCTTTGCCTATTTTTACATTATATCCATTCAAAAATGTAGGCAACTATAACTTGGCGACACAACTACTACAAATATATATTACTAAAGTGGGTGTTTTTTCTTCTTCTGCGAATAATGTTATCAGTTTTATTTTGTTCCGTCAGCACATTTTTAATAGCGTGTACGACCTAAAATAGAGAAACAAGCAAATGAAGCGTTTTAAATGAAATTGTTGCTGAATAATATTAACATTAAATTTACGTACGCGGTGAATAGGAACGACTTCGGCTACGGTCATATCGACGTCTGCGATCGCTGCGGTAACTGTTTCGACTCTTATGAGGTGAAACCGACCGACGGCGGGAGCGATGGTCGTCACGATAACGATCATGATTTTCACGCTCACGCCTATGCAAATACATAACGAAAAATGTATCAATTGGACAAACCCTATTAGCAATTGTAATACATACCGTGAATTTCGTCCCATGTAAACACCCGGTGTAGGTGTGTGTGGTCTTTGTGTTGTTGAGTAATCGACACGTATACGACGATCATCAAGTTCCATACCTGAACATGCTTCTTTAGCTGCTTTAGCATCGTTTTCATTTTCATAGTAAATAAAACAAAATCCTCGGGATCTGCCGGTCTGTGAAGGTAGATGTAAGCGTTAACGGAATTATTTTAAATGTGTAACAAAACTAGTTTGCATTTTGCTGATAATTGTATTGGAGAGCCTTTAGTGTTTGTGGGCACGAATCTTTGGCCCACCACTCATAATCTCCAACTTTATTGCATTTGTCTAGCCATTACTCATATAATTAACAAAATGCTCACGATTTGGTAACACATATCATGTTCAATGGCTACTTTACGTGCTTTTATATATACTCACTTGTGCATCAATAACGACTTGTATTCTTTCGATTGGACCAAATCTGGAAAATATTTCGCGAATTTTCTGTTGGGTTGTGTACACACTCAAACCAAATACCCCTATGCAGCGATTCTGTACAGGCTTTTCCTGCTGATGAAAATTTATTAATAATATACATATACATATACATATTTGAAATACCCTATTTCCACGGCGCTTATCGTAAGGGCTGCGTGTACGTGAACGGGAATAGCGGCGGCCATGTCGTGGGGAGAGTGACCTTTTAACATGCAAAAAGAGGTAAAATTCAAGTATTGAAATTTTGCAAATCAGGATAATATAAATAATTTTTGAAAGAATTATTCGTATTGATTTCTGTATTCTTCTTGTTCATTTAATTTTGCGCGCTCAACTTGATTTTATGAGTTCATTCTAAATCTTTTGGTTTTGGAGTGTGCTTGGAGTTCGTATTTGAAACAGATTTGACAGTTTCAAAACCGAGTTTGATTCAGAAGTTCGACTCAATTGCTAAACTTGCGTTTCTGCGAATGACTGGATTATTTTGAAATGTGTTCTATATTCAGATTGAAAGCTGTGTTCGGTTGTTCTGTCCATATTGCGCTGCAAAGGCTTGGCTATCGAACTTGCGCTTCTGCTTCAAAGAAAATTCTTTTAACTCATGAATAGAACGTTTGAAGTGTGGAATTTTCATTTTCGATTCAGTCCTGATTGAAAATTTTGGAATCTTACTTTGTAATTACGCTTCTCATTATTTGAGTTCTTACGGATTTTCGCTACAACTTCACTATTCTGAAACAGAAGAAATAACCACCACGTTATCGAAAGCTTACTTTGTAAATGCATGGCTTAAAATTATTGGACAACCCGTTATCGAAAAATTGCCGCTCAGACCATGCCGACTGAAGCTAGTACCTACATGCATATAATTAGGCGTAAAACCCTATTAGTTAATCTATATACTTAAAAATAATTGGGTTTTCATGCACTTCAAATAATTCGTACCTAAAGCCTTACTTAAAATACTTTGTGAAACTAGGAACTTGGCCATATGTACAAAAATAGAATGTGTTGCCATGACAACGGCTAACGCGTTAAGTTATACATTTACAAGCTGAAAATAAGCTCCCACACTTCATTAAATACAATTGGGGTACTGAAATAATTGCTTTTTTTCGTAACTTACGTAGAACTTTTACTGGCGTCCGAGTACCGTCCGCTTCGTCCTGCCGGCAGCGGCGGTGGAGAAGGCGGGTGTCGTGAAACTGAACGGCTACGAGATTTGTAATTTTTCTCTCTAGAATGTCGACTACAGAGAATACAGTAAATATTACTATATCAATGAACCCTTAAATTGGAAAGTGAAAATAGCACTTACCGGCGTCCATTGGTGCGCCGCACTGGTGACTTGGTATAGCTTCGACGCGGGGAAGCACTGCGGCTACGTGAACGTGGACTCTGCAATTAGCATTTTAAAAATAAATGTACATTCAGCTAACTTTTTTCGATCTTCTAGACAGGAACTTTTGGATGTGTGCGTTATTAAGTGAGGTTATGTTAAGATTTCGAACCATAACTTCTGTGCTTGAACTTCGAAGAATTTCAACTCATTTGCTATCATATCAAAAATCTTGCGTAGGAATGATTATCAGTACATCATTATACGCGGGAGCAACAAAAAGCGTTGGTAGGAAAAAATACGACCAACATCTGCATCGAATATCCGAGTAGCCCGGATGAGCCTTAGATATTTTAGAACTTTATACTTACCATTCCAATCCTTCGAAATTGTTTACTCACTAAATTTCAACAAATTCCACGGAAAAAAAAACAATTTTTCGGGGTTTTCGGTAATTTTCACAAAATTTGCCGCTGAATGAAATGAAAATGCCCGCTTGCTGTATATATAAAAGTCACAATAAAAATGGTTCCAGAAAGACGTTCACAATGTTGTTTAGCTGCAGGTTGCCAGGTTACATGTGAATTCAATAATAGTGGGGTATATGTGAAACTTGAGCATGGGCGTTATTCGAAGATTCAAATGTACTCAAAATGTGAACAAATTTATAATTGAATCGGCTGAATTCAGTAAATTTTTGTAAATTTAAACAAGAAATGTGGAAAGTTGATTTAGTTTCGAAGTAAGCATTAAATTTACGTATTATCAAACACTGCTGAAATTTGCTGCTATTTTTCACAAAAATCGGTAATTTTATATTGAGACTCGTTTTATTTCCTATATACCACAAATGTATGTAATGTAATTTGTGATATTTAATAATAAATTTACAAAATTTTACAACAGCCACTATGCTACATTAATGCCCACGAAATGCCGCTGTCAAAATATGTAGGCATTAATGACATCCATGCAAAAACAACATACATAGCAAGTTTATGGATGTACGCGCGCGGCGGCACTTCGCATTTTTCGTGAAATTCGCTAAGATTAAAAAAGTTTTTTAACCTAACTATATCGATATAAAAGTGAAAACTTTATTTTAAAAATATAGAAAAACTCTTAAACTACCAACTGGACAATAAAAATACAGCGTAAGAATCTTTAAATAGTGCCTGAGTACAGTCGTTGAAGCAGCAAAATTTTTTACGTTTTCTTGTAGTGCAGGACAAATGCAGGCAATAATGGCGTAAGGGAGAAATCAAATCACAAGCGAAATTCCTGGTACTGTGTCCTGAGCATAAAAATGGACGAAATTGAATACCTGGAGGAGTACGAAGACTTAATTCTACCAAGTAAGTGAAAATGTCTTAATGTTAAGTCGAAAGAAAGCATTATTGAATACCACTAATATATGTATATACATATGTGTGTATGCATCATAAAAAAAAAAAAAAAATAATGGGTCTGCTTTCCCAGCAATGAGTTCTCACTCCGCCGCTACGAAAAGCCGCGCAACTAGCAACGTTGCAAGCATGGCAGAAGATGAGGATTCTTCTTCTATAGACCAAGATATATTTGAAAGTTTATTTGATGATCACTCTGACGACGAGTCCATTATGCAAAAGAAAGGTAGGACTTTCTTTCTATTTTTTATTTATTTATCATTATCATGTTTGCGACAATGGGAAGTTAACGAAATTTTTCATTAGTGCCCGCGAAGTTGAGCCAGCGCGGTGAACGTATTTCTCAAATGTCTCGCATATCAATGGATTCGATCGATTTACTTGTGAAAGATTTAGGTAGATATAATCTTTTTTTTTATAAGTTCGGACTCGCCATGTACCGAAAATAAATATGCTCGTTTTTATGACCAATTCTAGGTGAACCGCTTAATGCAGATGGTTCGAAAGCAGCTAATAAACCAACACCGAAGCCGAGTAATACAAAAATCACCCAACCCAGTAAAATCACACAAAAAGGTATTTTCGCCAAAAATTTACGTAGTTCCTGGTTTAATCGTATGTTCATTTATATTTTCGTTATTATTTTGTTTAGCTCCAACAACAACTACCGCCAATATAAAAAGCACAGGCACCCCAACGCCTGCCTCTGCCGATAATAATAAAATGTCAAACAAATCAGAAGCAACAGAACGCAATTCCAAAACCAAGTCTGTAGCCACGGTAAGGCCAACAGTGCAACAAAGCTCGGCGCCAACACCATCAAAACAGACAAATGAAAATTCCGTAAGTTTTATATGTAAATACATACGCTGGCGGAAACGACTTTCTTTTTCAAGTTTTGACCATCTGTTTGTATTTATTATTGTTAATTTATTTTTTTTTGGAAAATGTAGTGCATGTACAACAACAAATCAAATCACTCAAAGCTTTAAACTATGTTTAAGTTTTATAATATTTTTTTAGGAACATATAGTACATGTACAACAACAAATCAAATAACTCAAAACTTTAAACTTTGTATAAGATTTATAATAATTCGACGAACTTCGAGATATGAACATCGAAATCTCAAACTTTTTAATTGGAATTTTAGAAATAATTTGGGTATGAAGTTTTACTGCCCATTCAATTTCAGAAGTTTGAAATTTTGATGTCAATTTTTGGAACTACGTCGAATTAATATAAATCTTGTACAAAGTTTAAAGCTTTAAGTTAAATGATTTTTGTTGTAGCAAGCACTATATTTTCCTTAAATAAATTTAAGATAACAAATAAAAACATGAAAAAGAAAATCGTTTATAATTATCGGGCCATCAGTGTAATAAATTCATATGTATGTTGTTTTTATGCTAAAATTTAAATTACTATTTTTAAAGAATGATAGTACGACAAATCGTGCGCCACCTACCAGTACAAGTGGCCACAAATCAAGTGCAAAAGTAACAAGTGGTGCCCAAAACTCATCCAAGCGCACGCCGACACCTACGACTGCCTCCACGTCGCGTAAACAAATTTCGGCCCCTACTTCAACAACCGCAAGCACTAGCAGTGCACCAGGTAGCAGCAAAAGTACTGCCTCAGTTGTAGCGGCACCACCAAAGCGGACAATTGAACGCTCCCAAACTACTATAATAAAACCGGAGAAGCCGCAAAGTAAGGATCCTGCAGAAGATCCTTTGAGTAAGTGGAAGCTACTTAGTTAAATTTTTGTTTATTTTTGAATAAAGTCGGAAAACTGCGATTGTTTTTAATATTTACTTTATTTTATAATTGTGATTTTTATGTAAATGTGTATTTTAACCTTTTTTTTATTTACATGTATTTGAGATTTTGGTTTATATCGTTACCTTAATTCACAAAGGACCCAACTAACACTTTTTTGAAACTGCGTTTTTGGCAGATTTTGGTAGGAAGTATTGAGATACACCTTCAATAACAATTTTTAAAGTGTTAGTAACAAAAACAACGAAGTTATACGCGACGTTTTAAAAAGTCCTACCTGTTTTTAACCGACTTCCAAAAAAGGAGGAGGTTCTCAGTTCGTCGAAATATATAAATTTTTTTTATGTATGTTACCGCCTTACTCTGGACCACGTCAACCGATTTCGATAATTCTTTTTGCATCGGAAAGGTAGTGTCCCATATTAATCTGGTTTAGATCCGATCATTGGATCATGAAATATATATATGTATATATATTTTTATATCAGAATTGAAGTCGTTTTTTTTGCGTGTTGATACTATTTTTTATGTTTGTGCTCTGTAAAATAAAAAAATTTTGGTTAGGGTCTTTGTGAATTAAATGTGTATGGGTGTTTTTTTTTTTTAATTTTAACCCTTGTCCTCTACTTAAAAAACGGTTTACGGATGAATAGTGTGGGCTATCGCTGAATCATCGTATCCGAATTTTCGTGAAATCTACGAAAATGCTATCGACTGAATCCGGATAGCATATACTTTGAATGCGTACGTTCGTAAAAATTCAGATTTAGTGATCGCATTTTAGTGCATTTCACGAAAATCTGATCGCGATAGATTCAGCGATAGCCCTGAGTGTATTTTTAAGTCAAATATTTTCTGCTTAATCTTTTTCCTTTCCTCGTATCCGCCAAATAAAATACCGCGTAAGAGGTGATACAGAAAACAATTGTCTTTGGTTTCTCTGTAGCAGAAGCTCATATTTAGTAAGTTCAGTTCGAAAACCCTTCAAAAGTTTTGAAGAAAATAAGTTTCCTTGCTCTTGAGTGAAATTTTCGTATTATCTCGTACGTGGTATTGCATTTGGCGTATGCTTGATATTGCGTACCAAGCAACGGTATGCAAAACTATGAGGTCTCTTTCGAAATTTTAACCATTGCTTACATGGTAGGGTTTAAATTTGCCTGTTGGCTTTAAGCTTGAGTAATATTTATTACTAGTTTTTAAGTTACTAGTTTGTAATCCCTTTGAGTGCATTCGTTCTTTGTACATATAAATCGTGAAACTTTAATAATCTGTTAGATACATATCTAATTCGATTTTCTGTCACTTTCACTTTCGCTAGGTTTAGAAAACATTGAGAATGAATCCGATTCCGATACAGATTCCTTTATATACTCTGATATATCTGCTGATACATTCGTTTCGCTGAGTGATGTGGACGATGAAGAACGTCAAGTGATCGAGCTCTCTAATGACTCGAACTATGATCGTGCTAACCTAGGTAAGTCAGTATTTTATGCTTAACTGATAATGATACGCGACAAGTAAAGAACACAAAAAAACCTACAGACAAAATTCGTGGGTCAACGCCTTCGCCCACAGTTTCCGATGATTATAAAAGTGATAACGAGGATTCACCAGCAAAAATGTCGTCGAAACGTTTCGAAAAGTCTAAACATGGCTCTGCGTTAGATAGAAATGCGGCGAAAAAATTAAATGTGCAGCAATATATTGATACACAACCATCCACCAGTAGTCACCGTAAGCTCACTACTCCAAATAGCTCGAAAGAGAAAACGAAGAAAACGGGTAAAAGTCCCAATACTAGTGATACGTTGCTGGAACGCATAGACACGGTGCTATCAGAAGTAGTCGATAAAGATGATGATGAACAACTTACAGTTAAAAAGCAAATCACTGATGTTGAACTTGATGTTGAAGTGGAAAGTAATAATCAGGAGGAGAGCAAAGAAGTATCAGACCACACAGTGGAATGTAGTGGTAATATGGATGATACCGCCATAACAGCGCCGGAAGCAAACCAAGGTGATCATCTTAAAACAATCAAATTAGAATTACTAACCAATGCATTATCTTCCGCAGAGCCATCCAAATCAAATTCAATGGATATGGAAATGGAAGAGAAAGTGGAAGTAGAAGTTATAGAACAACAAAATAATGAATTAAAAACGGTAGTGGAGGCGAAAGCGGAAGAAAGAGTAGAAGAAATGTCCGATAATGTAAACGTCTCTGACGAAGCAGAGATCTCTAAATCTCCGGATATTGATAAGGATGTTGCAATAATGGACGTAGAAGAAAAAGCTGTGGTCGAAAGTTTACTTTCTAAAAATATTGATGATTCTAAAAATTCAGAATGTGAAGTAC